TTTGTGAGGCCTATAATTAGCAAGAAATAGCAGACAGAATAATCTCAATGTATTAGAAATTCCTAAGGTAACTTCTGTTGGTAACAAAATAATCTAGGGAGCCATAACTTTCTTTCTGATGTTGGCCACTGTCCATTACAAAATACACCAATCCACACAACCCTGGATTCAATGTTCTCTTATTCTTCTAATCCTTTATTTTCAAAGAGAGGTTATAAAATTGTAAACATATTAGTTCATCCTATTCTCACATTTCATAGGATGTGACATATTAGTTCATCGCATTTCAAAATCACAAACCTCTTCCAAGTTCAGATATCAAAGCAAACAAGAAACTACAGGAGAATTCAAGTGTTTGAAAAAGAAGGGAGACCAGAGAGAACACTGTTTATACACGCAATCAAGACAGTCTTTCCTCTAAATCAAAGGCCAGATTAATATTAGATGTAATTAATAATTTGTGTTTTCTGGAAGATTTTCCCCAGTGTCTTAAAAGTAACATTTCTTACATAGATTTCAAAATGAAAATTGCAAAACCTTTTTGGACATCTGTGCTAAAGGAATTATGTAGAAAAAAGTTGATGCTGGAGAACTAAATACACTGAAAACTTGGGTTTCTTTCCAAAATATGTTTTATCTTAATTACTTTTACAGTAGGATCTCACTTATTCAAGTCTAAATTAACAAAGCTCATGAATTTTCCTTAGGGAAATGACTTGAGGCAGATAAAAAGAAACAAGCAATATGTAATAAGCATCATGCTCCAGGATTTAGATCTGATGATACCAGCTATGAGAAAAGTATCTCAAGCAAGCAGCACTTTAAGTCTTCAGTGAGTGGCAACACACAAGATGCTTCCAAAGAAGCAGCTAAATGTTCTTCAAAATCTGTGGAGCCTTCATTAGATATATGATCTGCAAAATTACTTATATTTGAATCTTCAATATTGTAGGATCATACAGCATACCACTGTGGTATAGTGTTGTAGTATATAGTATAGCATACTGTTGTAAACAAAAAATAAAATCCTGAACTCCCCTGCTGACTGAATGGACCCCTCTTGGCCAAGGGGACCCCAGAAAAACCTTAAAACTGAGTTCCTGGCCATGAAGGGAAGGGAGGTCGGACTTGTTATACCCCCTCCATTTTGGAATTTAGATACAATTGACAAGCATTAATGTTAAAAAAGAGATCATAAGAGTGACAAAACAGACTCTTTGTGACAATAAGAAACTGAATTATTAACAGGACCTTAGACCATGCAAAGCAAAGGTTAAATCACACCTGCAGACCATCAATTCTCTTAACAGATCACTTGAGTCTGTATATTGTGGCTTGTCTCTGATTAACAGACTTCCTGATCTTAATACATTCCAAGCTTTTAGATAAAGCTTTATTTCTTTAACCAATTACAAATCAAGGAATCTCTGAAGCCACCTATAATTTATAAAACCCTGCTTTGACATGTCCTGCCTTTTTAGGCCAAAGTAATGTATACCTTCCATGTATTACGACTTTACCTGTAATTCTTGTCTCTCTAACATGAATAGAACCAAACTTTATATACTCAGTTGTTTGTAAGTCTATATAAGCTTCCCTGCTCTGGGGTCCTGTTTTATCCATGTCCATATTACCTCCATGTTCAGCACAGTGCATAGTGTGCACTTGGCATTTTTTTTAAGAGAGAGTGTCTTGCTCTGTCACCAGGCTGGAGTGCAGTGGCATGATCATAGATCACTGCAGCCTCAAACTCCTAGGCTCAGGTCATCCTCCCACCTCAGCCTCCTGAGTAGCTGGAACTGCGGGTGCAAGCCACCACACCCAGCTAACACATATCGGAGCTGATGAAAGAGCCAAGTTGTGAGGTAAGATACTCGAGGAGGATGATAGTGCTAGTGGGATAGAGACTAGAGAGGATATCTGGGGCATCTGAAGGAGTCAGCAATAGGACACTGTACTTGCCAAGTCTCAGTGATGAAAGATCGAGTTAACCAGAGGACCGTGCCCTGCTTACGTGGCTGGGAGATGACTAGGAGCAGGTGTGCCCCACGGTAACTGAATGAAATGCTTATAAAGCACTTGTCCTCCTGATGTCCCTCACGTGTGCACCATGAGGGGTTTTGCTAGCAAATGGATTGTCAAATGTTTTACACAAGAGAATCTTGGTGAAAGATTAGGCAACAATAATTCCAGTTTGGACTCTCCTGTCCTAGGTGAACATGTACAGGAAGGGACAAAGAAATTCCAAAGTCCTATGTTAGGGGGCCAAAAGATTTGCTGATGCAGACCTTGGACCAGAAAAACCCCAACCCTTACATCAAGAAGGTGGTATCAGGAGGGTGATACCATACTGCAGTTTGATGGTGGCACCCTTGTGATAAGCTTGTTATCTGCTGTGACAGCTGACTATCCACGGTGGGCCTGATAAAGTGACAGTGGGGTACTCACGAGAACAGTCCAGGAGGCTGCTCAAGCGAGAGAATCAGACTGTAGGTGTCCAGCAGGGTTGGAGATGACATTTTCAGAGCCATCAGAACATAACAAATACAGAAGACAGGAACCCTCTGAGAAGGGAGGATCTACAGAGAAAAACAAGACAAAGTTAGGATGAAGAGGCATAATCAAGGAAGATTTAAAAAAAGGCCAAACAAAGGCCAAAGAGGTAGAATGAGACAATAATGAATATAATGTACAGAAACCAAAGAAAGGCAAGTCTGGCGGGAGAGATCAGGCATCAGAATTGCCACGGTGTCTGGCTTGGCCGGTCTTCTGTCGCCCCATCACCCTGAGACCTGCAGGGTGGATCCTGAGCCTTGGCCTCTCGCTTCAAAGCCCTCTGGCCCTGCCAGCTAGAGTTAAGGCTCTTCGTCGCTGGCACAGGCGTCCTTCTATTTCTAGCTACATTGCTTTGGGCACAACTGATCCTGGTGCCTGTGTGGTCTCAAGTGAGCCTGAGCTCCCCTCTGAGCTTCCGGCTTTTCCAGCTTTTGACTCGGGGTTCCCACTTTCTCTGTTCCAGTAATCTAACGTCTGAGTCCTGAATCTGACCACTGACGTTTTATATTTTCACTAATGGCCAGCTCTAGCCCTCTTCCCATGTGGGAAAGAGCTTCCAGAAAGATACTTTGAGGTTCTCCCTGCACTGTAGATTAAGACAGCGATAAGCATAGTCAAATAGAACAGAAATGCCAAAGAGAAAGAAAGAGGAGGGGGAAGGCACCATGGTGTTTGAGGGAGGAGTTTCAAGAGCACAAACGCACCCTAGAGTCTAAAAAGAAGGGAGGAGAGTAAAGGAGGAAGACAAACAGGAAACCCAAGGATTGCCACAAGAAGCAAGTGCAGTGTTGGTGGCTGAGGCGGTTTTCTGACCCAAGGCTAGTTGTCTTCATCTCCCGAGTACCCCACAGGGAACCAGTCCCTGAATGAGAACAGTGGAAACTTTCAGAGGAAAGCAACTGGAAACATCCAGCTTAGGTGACATGTGAGGAGAAGAAAGCATTTCCTTACAGCCGGCTTCTGATAAGAACATGATTTCAGGCGTTGTGTGCTTACTGCTCCTTCAAAGGAAAGTGCTGGCCGCCCTACTGAGTTCTAAGCTTTCAGTGCCCTATCTCACTTTTCCTGCCCTCCGGAAACAGAGAAAGAAAGAAAAGGAGGCTGAGCTTCCAGCTCTGCAGGTCCCTATCTTTTCCAATCTCACTTGGCCAGTCAACTCACTGGCTCAACTTCCTGCTCTTAATCTCAGTCTGAAACAAAAGCTACTGGGACTGTGCAGTTTTCCCCTCTCAATGTGCTTTCAAGCACAAGATATTCTAATCATACCCTCTATTTAGGAGGACCCCCAAATCTACATATAAAAGATAAATTAGCATCAGTTATTCACATCACCAATGTAGTTGCTTATATAAAAGGCAACACCATAGGGTAGCTTTAAAACTTACTGAACACAGGTTTCCTTAATTATTAGTTGACCTGCTTTCCTGACTGAGAATAATGTGCATTTTGAGATAATTATAACCATTTTTTTTCTCCTAATTGTCACATGGGTATTCATTCTAAGATTTAAAAATTAAATTTATATATATTTATACATTTTTCTCTCTCTTAGTCCAACTTTGGCATCACATTTGGGTTTGGAGGAAAGATTGAGTCATAACTTTAAGCTTTCAAGAACTTCATAGAGTGTAAAGAAAAGTTTCTGTCCTAAATTATAAAGTTCAGATGGTTGGAGTTGCTTTTTCCTGAGAGAGAAAACAAATACATAACAAAAACAGAACACTCTTGTGAATTTATTATCACTTGTTCTCTGTTCTTTCCTCTGGACCCTGCACATCTGTTGGTTGGTGATTCCTATCAGTGCCAGAGAGCAGGTAGGCAAAACTTACAGTTTGTGTTAGTTTCATCTCTTTCAGCAAACAAACCTTGATTATCTAATTTGTGTCAGGCACCATTCAAGAGACTTGCAGAGAGGGGTAAGGAACATATGCAAAGATCTATCAGACCCTGGAGCCTTCCTAGAAGTAAAAGGTTTGTGGGAGTGATAAATTGCCATTAATCGGCTCTTGCTGTGGCAATTCAATTTCCCTTCTGTTTTTAAAGTGGCCTCTGGGAACAGCAGCAGCTAATAGACCATGTGTTTAATGGAAAGAACCAGGGCTTGAGGGTTCAATAACACCAGGCCTGATTCTTAGCTCCATTACCTATTAGCTTCAATCCTGGGACAATTAACTAGAGTCCTGGGGCACCGAGAAATATGTCATTATACAATTTCATCATTATGCAAACAATATAGAGTACTTACACAAACCTAGATGGTATCGTCTACTGCATACACAGTTAACACATTCACTAAAATGGAAAAGAGAAAGAGATCTGACACAAACAGGTAAGACACGGCCTTCAGTACAAAACAAAGAAAAAAGAGAAGGGTTGCCTTGTGTAGTAGAGAAAGTTCTTGCCTGGGTTTCCGCTCAGGTCCGCTATGCAAACGAGGAAGCTTGTTCAGTCCTGATTGGTTGATGCTAAAATGGATGGCAGGTCACAGTTCATTGGTCAGGTCCAAGTAGCAGAATGGGGCCTTCCAATAGCAGTTGATTCTGGCTGCATAAACACGGACAGGTTTGAAAGCTCCAAAGTTTAACTGCTGTTCACCTTGCACAGGGTATGTGTATAACCTCCAGTGGGGAAGTGGCTCTCAGATCCACTCAGAATTTAAACCCAGTTCGCCCCTCGGGATTCATGTTGAAGTGTTGGCTCTTTCAGGGTTCACAATACGTAGTCTGTATGGTGTTGCTATAGTGTGGCCTATTGCTCTGAGGCTATAAGCCTGGACAGCATGTTTCTGTACTGAATACTGTAGGCAGTTGTAACATATGGTAAATACCGTGTTTCCCCGAAAATAAGACAGGGTCTTATATTTATTTTTCCTCAAGAAGACACCCTAGGGCTTATTTTCAAGGGATGTGTTATTTCCCCCTCAAAGCCTCAGCTTGCAGCACGCACAGGATAGCCAGGACAGGGGGCACGCCCCACCTTATTGGTGGGGCTGCCCTCACCTTTCCAGTCACCCCTGGGATAGTAGCTGTCACAATGGGGCAGATGAGAAGGGCTGCTCCTCTTCTTTAACGCTCTGGGGGGAATGCATGGGTTGTGCAGATACGTTTCATAGCCACGCCCATCACTAGGTCTTATTTTTGGGGTAGGGCTTATATTGCGCAAATGTTGAGAAATCCTGTTAGGGCTTTTTTTATGGGTAGGTCTTATTTTTGAGGAAACACGGTATTTGTGTCTCTAAACATATGTAAACACAGAAACGGTATAGTAAAAATGTAGCATAAAAGATAAAAAGTGGCACACCTATGTAGGACAATTACTATGAAAAGAGCTTAGAGGATTAAAAGTTGCTCTGGGTGAGTCAGTGAGCGAGTGGTGAGTGAATGTGAAGGGCTAGGATGTCCCTGTACACTACTGTAGACTTTATAAACACTGTACACTTAGGCTACACTAAATTGATGAAAAACCTTTCTTTCCTCACTAAATTAACCTTAGTTTACTATAACTTTTTTTACTTTATAAACTTTTAAATTTTTTAAACTTTTGGCTCTTTCGTAGTAATACTTAGCTTAAAACACATTGTATAGCTGTACAAAAATATTTTCTGTCTTTGTATCCTTATTCTATAAGCTTTTTTCTATTTTTAAATGTTTTTTATTTTACTTTTAAAATTTTTTGTTAAAAACTAAGACACAAACACACACACAAGATGAGGATCATCAATATCACTGTCTTCCACCTCCACGTCTTGTAACCCTGGAAAATCTTCACTGGCAATAATATACACAGAGCTGTCGCCTTTTATGTTAACGAGGCCTTCTTCTGGAATACCTCCTGAAGGGCCTGCCTAAGGCTGTTTTACAGTTACCCATTTTTTTTAATAAGTAGATGTGCACTCTAAGGCAATGATAAAAAGCATAGTGAGCTTTTATCACGCCTGTAATCCCAGTGAGCCCGGGTGACTAAGCAAGACTGTCTCTAACAAAAAAAAATTCTTTTAAAGAAATAAAAAAGTGTTATAGTAAATACATGAACCAGTAACACAGTTGTTATTATCAGGTGTTATGTGTGGTACACAATTGTGTTAGACTGTTGCATAACTGGCAGTGCAGTGGGTTTGTTTACACCAGCAACACCACAAACCCGTGAGTACAATGTTAGGATGGCTGCGACATCTCTAAGTGATGGGAATTTTTCCAGCTTCATTATAATGTTAGAGGACCATTGTCGTATATGCAGTCTGCCTTTGACTGCAACATCATTATGTGGCTCATGTCTATATTCCAAACTCCAGTTTTCTCATCTGTAAAATACAGCCAAATGTATGCTTTCTAGAGGTTTTACATGAATTAAACCAGTGGAGCTGAATCCAGTGAAGCCCCTGGGGTCAGACTGCTTAGGATTCAAACTCTGACTCAACCGTGTACTTGCTGTGTGATTCTTGGCAAGCTACTTAATGTCCTTAAGCCTCGGTTTCCTCTCTCTCTCTCTCTCTCTCTCTCTCTCTGTCTCTCTCTCTCTCTCTATATATATATATTTAATATTCACAAAAATGATTCTTAGCTTATTGAGTAGTTGTGATGAGCACATGGGATTATCCATAGAAAGAATTTAGCATAGTGCCTAGCACATAGTAAATGTTGAAATGAATGTTAGCTATTGTCATAGAAAGCACCATGCACAATAAATGTTATTTCCTGCTCTCTTAACCAGGTTGCAGATTAATAGGAGGCAGTTGTGCTAGAAGTGCCCTAAGGCAGATTCTTCTCTTTACAAGGAATTTCTTTCTTTTCTTGTTTTTTTTTTTTTTTTCCTTCTCCTTTCAAGAGTGTTCTGGTAGACATTAGCCAAACACCTGGGGGAGAGAAACCTAGAAAGCCTTTAAGTGTACATATTTCCTTCACCATGAAATGCATGTGCTTTTAGAAGAAGCAGGCTCTGAGAAAGGGGCCAATTAGTGTGAGGGCCTGACTGTAGATAAAGCATAAAAGAAGAGACGTTGTGACTCCCAATTAAAGATAGATCATTGTTACCATTAATGTCTTCATTAGCAATATTTTTCTATATATGCTTTTTTAGAAGTACATATGTAATTTTATATTCAAGGGGTAATTGTGTAGGTATTTCAAATTGTAGAACAATGGCCCTTGGGTAGTAACTAAATTTTTAGCTTTAGAATAACATTCAGAGTTCAGATATGATTAACATACATTTTTTGGTTGCGAGCATGGCCTTGTCCCTGCTCCTGGCCCCAGGCAGGCCCCCACACCCACTAGCTTTGCCTGGGTTCCTTCTGGGCTCGTCGACATCTTCACTTGGTCCAGCCCTGCTGCCCTGTGTGCAGGAGCTGTGTCTGTGCTTAGCAAACACGTCTTGGATTGGGTGTCGTTTTTGCTCAGTGTGTGCCTGGGTATTCCAGATCCCCAGGCAATTCTGATGTTCACGGTGCCAAGAAACCATAAATGGATTTATGATTTTCACTGTAACAACTCTTGCAGGATCTTACCATTTTTCAGATAACAACTCCCCCACTTTTCCTGTTTGTATGATGACTTTCTCATGCCAAGACACACTAAATGAATATGCTTATAAAAGTGATATTTCATTGTTACCAGGGGCTGGGGGGTAGGGGAAGTATGGAGTTATTGTTTAACAGGTACAAAGTTTCTGTTTGGAATGATGACAACATTCTTGAAATGGACCATGGTGATGGTTACACAACACTGTGAATATACTTAAGGCCCATGAATTACCCACTTAGAAATGGTGAAAATGGTACATTTTGTCACATATATTTTACTACAATTAAAAAAGTGATATTTAGGCATTATGGTTTCATCCTTTTATATAGACACAGTACTTCTAGTCAGGTGGTGCAAGTTTTAATTGCCTGCCTTTTGGGGATGGAAACCTATAGTAAAAATGCTGCCTCCCAGAGGTCGAGGTGGCCAGAATGCTCTGCTTCCTCGTTAGCCTATTAATTAATTGCATAGAAGTAGATGCTTGGAAAGTACTTGAAGATTTGCTATTTTTTAGAAGCTCTAAACATTATTATTATTGCCACTTTACAGATTAAAAAGAGATATGTAAAGGTGAAGTGACACACAGCTAAGTATAGGAAGAAACCATCCTGAAAGCCACTTCTTGTGACTCTGGTCTTTGCTGGTTCTACAGCTGGAGCCAGGGTTCTGGAGATCATGTGGTTCATGAAGGGAATAGAGTCACAGCACCTCCAGACCTATGGCACCAGTGACTTGGACAAGTGGCAGGTGTGGTACTCAGCACAATTCATTAAGTTCCCCTGAATATGTTCCCAGGAGCTACCATCCTGGCTGCTGAGTGGCCTCCGTCCACCTACCCATCCATCCACCCACCCATCCAGAATGAAGGGGGGAGGAGGACAAGAGACACACCTGCCCTATGGATCCTGAAGACCATGATGTTGAGCTCTTCTAAAAGACAAAATAGGCCCAGCAGGCTCACGCCTGTAATCCTAGCACTCTGGGAGGCCGAGGCAGACGGATTGCTCGAGGACAGGAGTTCAAAACCAGCATGAGCAAGAGCGAGACCCCATCTCTACTATAAATAGAAAGAAATTAATTGGCCAACTAATATATATAGAAAAAATTAGCCGGGCATGGTGGCACATGCCTGCAGTCCCAGCTACTTGGGAGGCTGAGGCAGCAGGATTGCTTGAGCCCAGGAGTTTGAGGTTGCTGTGAGCTAGGCTGACACCACGGCACTCACTCTCGGCTGGGCAACAAAGTGAGACTCTGTCTCAAAAAAAAAAAAAAAAATAAAATAAAAATAAAAGTCAAAATTGACAACTGAATTCAGCCACTTTTAGTCAAGATAGCTGGGAAACCATCCCAATAACATTATCTCTCAAAATGTAAATTCAATTGTCATCTTGAATTATTACTCAGGTAATTCTATTAATAGCTATGCAAATACAGGATTTGAGTAACTTAATTTAAAAACATCTTTCTTAGCCGGGCATAGTGGCGCATGCCTGTAGTCCCAGCTACTCGGGAGGCTGAGGCAGAAGGATCACTCGAGCCCAGGAGTTTGAGGTTGCTGTGAGCTAGGCTGACGCCACGGCACTCACTCTAGCCTGGCAACAAAGCGAGACTCTGTCTCAAAAAAAAAAAAAAAAAAAATCTTTCTATTTCCCTTCTACCTCAAAGGATTGATTTAGTTATGTAAAAATGCAAAAGATTACCCAAATCACCTTAATATTTTGACAAATTGATATCTGTCATATTGGATTGTCTTCACCAGCTTCTTAAATTAAGTCTATATTTTCCCTTTTTGTTACATTGATAAAAGAAATCCTGGGCTTTCAGTGTGCAATAAAACCAGTTCTAATTTTTATTCTCCATTGCCATTTGCAATACCCAGAGAGGAAAAGTATTGTGAGAAAAACCCCCCAGAATACAGTCAGGTGACAATTCACATTCTTTTTCCTAAGATGTTTAACTGTGACAAGCAAAAGCCAATTCAAAAATAGTTTTGGGGCACCCTCTGGTGCTGAAAAGATCAATGAAATCAGTGTACACGTGTACAAGCTTGTAGAATCACCACCGCTAGGACCCAGAAGACCAGTAA